AAACAGACTATTCAGTAAATAGTGTTTGGACAACCAGTTATTCATTTTGAAAAAAGAAAACAGGATCTCTTTCATCATGTTCAACAGCAAAATCAATTTCAGGTAGATTAAAGTCCTAAACATGGTAAGCAAAACTTTTAGAAGACTGTATTCAAGAACTAAATATGACCAAAGAGTAGAAAAGAATTTCACTTTAAAAATAGTAGAGAATATAAAGACAGAGATGAATATGCTTGACATTAAAAGTGAAAATTCCTGTCTATCAAAATCTATAATCAAAAAAAAAAAAAAGAAAGAAATATCACAGACTGGGATGAAAACACTGTACTCAGAATTCATAAAACTGAAAAAATAATTTGAAGTGAGATTACATAAATTCGGCCAGGTGCAGTGGCTCACACCTATAATCCTTGCACTCTGGAAGGCTGAGATGGATCACTTGAGGCCAAGAGTTCAAAACTAGCCTGGGCAACACAGCAAGACCTCATCTTTATAAAAAATAAAATAGGCCAGCCGCAGTGGCTCATGCCTGTAATCCCAGCACTTTGGGAGGCCGAGGCAAGTGGATCACAAGGTCAGGAGTTCAAGACCAGACTGGCCAACATGAGGAAACCCCATCTCTACTAAAAAATACAAAAATTAGCTTAGCATGGTGGCTTGTGCCTGTAATCCCAGCAACTTGGAAGGCTGAAGTAGAACTGCTTAAACCGGGACCCTGGAGGTATAGGTTGCAGTGAGCCGAGATCGTGCCACTGCACTCCAGCCTGGGATACAGAGCGAGACTCCAAATAAAAAAAAATAAATAAGTAAAATAAAATATTTGCTGGGTGTGGTGGCTCACGCCTGTAATCCTAGCACTTTGGGATGCCAAGGCAGATGGATCATGAGGTTAGGAGTTTGAGGCCAGCCTGACCAACATGGTGAAACCCTGTTTCTACTAAAAATACAAAAATTAGCCAGGTGTGGTGACGTGTGCCTGTAATCCCAGCTACTCAGGAGGCTGAGGCAGGAAAATCACTTGAAACCCGGGAGGCAGAGGTTGCAATGAACCGAGATCATGCCACTGCACTCCAGCCTGGGTGACAGAGCAAGACTCCATCTCAAAAAAAAAAAAAAAAAAAAAATTTATGAAGAAAAAAAGGAAAAAAAAAATCTCGATTTAAAAAGGACGCAAAGGACTTGAACAGGGCAATTCATAAATGAGATACCGGAATATGCACTAAAAAAAGTGAACAGATGCACAACCTCAACAGTGAGATATAATCACATTATTTTGGCAACAGGTTTAATGTCTACTGACATTACAGGTTGGCAAGAAGGTGGCACTATAAGAATATTCAATGAGGAGAAATTCTAAGGTAGCATACTCACTTTGGAGAATCATTTGGCAATATCTAGTAGAGCTGAAGTTATGTAATACACTACGATACAAAAATCCCACTTCTGGGTGAATGGGCTAAACTAGAAACTCTCTTGACGACGTATCTAAAGTTTTATAATAAAATAATACCTAATTTAGGAATACAGACAGAAGCACAAAAAGTACATTATAGGAAAGATAAATACCAAGTAAGCCTCACTGATCTCAAAACAAACTTTTTTTTTTTTTTGGAGTCAGGGTTGTGCTGTGTTACCCAGGCAGAGTGTGGCCTCCCAAGCAGCTGGGACCTGAGGTGTGAATCACCACGTCTGGTTTATTTTTTTGGGGGGGTGGGGGAGGTATGTGGGGGTGGTCTCTCTACGTTGTACAGGCTTGCTTGATTTCAAATCCTAGCACTCCACAAACTATTCTCTTACCTTAGTGTTGGGTGGGGGATTATAGGACTGAGTCAAAACACCAGACCTCAAAACAAACTTAATGAAAAAAGTATTACTTCTTAATATGAAACTAACTTACTTTTTGAAGTTCTTTTTGCCTAAAGTATGAAGAGTAACTATTAAATTAAATCTCAAGGTGGTAAGGTAAAGGTGACCCAGAAAGGAAAAGATGCCATTTAGCTCTCTTCCAGCTAGTCAGCATGACATGTTACAATGAAAAATTAAAATGAGACATGAAGAGCTAGTTCAAGGAAGTAGTCATTTCTCAAGAGGAGAAAGTAGGCTGGGCGTGGTGGCCCACACCTGGTGGCTCTCAGCACTGTGGAAGGCCGAGGTGGGCAGATCACTTGAAGCCAGGAGTTTGGGACAAGCCTAGCCAACATGGTGAAACCCGATCTCTACTAAAAATACAAAAATTAGCCTGGCATGGGGGTGTACACCTGTAGTCTCAGCTACATGGAAGCTTAGGCACAAGAATTGCTTGAACCTGGGAGGCAGAGGTTGCAGTGAGCTGAGATTGCACCACTGCACTCCAGCCTGGATGGCAGAGTAAGACTCTATCTCAAAAAAAAAAAAAGTAGAAAGTAAAATTAATATAACGAATATCTTTCAAATCCTCACTATGTTCTTACTCTATCATGTATTCTGAAAAAGCCACTATATTGAATTTCATGCTTATCAATATATTGGCTTTTCTTTAGTTTTACTACATGTTTGTATTCCCAACACTGCATTGTTTAGTTTTGCATATATTTACATTTTATATAAATAAAATACATGTATTCTCTTTTGTGACTTGTCTTTTTAAATCAACATTATGTTTTTGAGATTCATTCATGTGTTACAGATCTCAGTGACTTAAATACTGATGGCATCACCTAAGGCCTGGTGGCCAGGACAAGAACTTAAGATTCTTCTGGGAAACTGGGGAGCTATTGAAGGAATTTTGTTTGCTTGTTTTTGTTTTTGAGACAGGCTGGAATGCAGTGGTATGATTATGGCTCACTGCAGCCTCAGCCTCCCAGGCTCAAGCAGTCTTTCTGCCTCAGCTTCCTGAATAGCTGGGACCACAGGTGCATGCCACCATGCCCAGCTAATTTTTGTTTTTCTTTTTGAGACAGTCTTGCTCTGTTGCACAGGCTGAAGTGCTGTGGTGCAACGTGGACTCACTGCAGCCTCTGTCTCCTGTTTCAAGCAATTTTCATGCCTCGGCCTCCTGAGTAGCTGGGACTGTAGGCACAGGTGACTGCACCTGGCTAATTTTTATATTTTTAGTACAGATGGGGTTTCACCATGTTAGCCAGGCTAGTCTTGAACTCCTGGCCTCAAGTCATCCACCCACCTTGGCCTACCAAAGTGCTGGAATTACAGGGGTGGGCCACTGAGCCTGGCCCCAGCTAATTTATTATTGTATTTTGTAGAGACAGGGTTGCCCGCTATGTTGCCCAGGCTAGTTTTGAACCCTGAGCTCAAGATGATCCTTCTATCTCAGCCTCCCAAAGTGTTGGGATTATAGGTGTGGGCCATTATGCCCGGCCGGCCCTGTTGGAGGATTCTGAGCAAAGGCTGACTTGACTTGCAAAGTAAAAGCATCTGTCATACCACTGCGGTGTTAGGAAGAGATCAGGAGGGAAGGGGAGAAGCAAGAAGACCCATTAAGGGGCTACTGTATAGGTAATCCAAATGAGAGAAGATGGTATTAGAAGTGAAGATGGTAAAAAATGGTCGGATTTGGATACATTCTGAGTAGAGATTTCAAGAGGTTCCTGACAATTTGAATATGAGATAAAAGAGAGGGACCAGGATGCCTCTGAGGATTTAGGTCTAAACTGGAAGAACAGAGCTGTCATTAAGCAGTAAAGAGAAGCTAGGTGTGGTGGCTCTCTTCTATGATCCTACGAGTTTAGAAGGCCAAGGCAGGAGGACTGCTTGCGCCCAGGAGTTTGAGACCAGCCTGAGTAACATAGCGAGACCCTATCTGTACCAAAAATAAAGGTAAAGAATGAGCCATGTGCTGGGCGTGGTGGCTCACACCTGTAATCCCAGCAGTTTGGGAGGCCAAGGCAGGCAGATTACCTGAGATCAAGTTGTCGAGACCAGCCTGGCAACATGGTGAAACTCTTGTCTCTGCTAAAAATAAAAAAAAAAATTAGCTAGGTATGATGGCAGGTGGCTGTAGCCCCAGCTACTAAGGAGGCTAAGGCAGAAGAATTGCTTGAACTCAGGAGGTGGAGGTTGCAGTGAGCTGAGATTGCACCACTGCACTCCAGCCTCAGTGACACAGTGAGACTCTTGTTTCAAAAAAATAAAAAATTAGCTGGGCATGATGGCATATGCCTGTGATCTCAGCTACTTGGGAGGCTGAGGCAGGAGGATCGCTTGAGCCTGGGAGGTTGAGGCTGGAGTGAGTTGTGATCCTGCCACTGCACTCCAGCCTGGGTGACAAGCAAGATGCCATTATTCACTCACTCATTCATTCATTCATTCATTAACTCACACATACAAACATAAAACAAAAAGGAGATAACTGTAAGTAGAATACGTTGTAAGAAGTCCAGTTTTGGAGATACTGAGTAAGCAATTCCTTATATGAGCCTGGAGTTGGAGCAGAGAAAAAAGCCTAAATTGGAGACAGAAATTTGAAAATAATAAACATAAAAATGGCATTTAAAGTCATTAGCGATATAAGATTACCAAGAAATTGATAAAAACAGAGAGAGAAGGATAAAAACCCAAAATCTAAGCTCTGATGTACCTGAACAATAAGAGAGCTGAGAAAATACACATTTAAGAAAATCAAAATCGGCAATCTTGTTTGGACCAATGGGGAAAATGGATTAAGACAGCTTATAGGAATTCCGATCATACACAAAATAAGTATATCACCAAAGAGGGAATCTCTAACTCCTGTCAGACATCCAATACATGTGTAAATTGGGTTACAAATTGAGCTTGGGTGAAGACAGATTTAATTAAGATTCAGTGAAATAGAATTATATTACTAGAAAAATAACTCAAGAGTTTAATTACATTGATGGTATGTTTAAAAATCTTACTTACCTGTAAAAGGAAATGTGCTTTTCAACTTATTAAGAAGATCTATAGTTATACACATATGAATACTCACTGGACAAATTATAATGTTACTTTATATACTAGAAAGATACTTGCATTATTTTTACCTAATGAGCAGTTGCTTTGCATTCTCCCATCTGTTGAACAACGCAACATGGTGCCAACCACACGGCCTCCCACGACAATGACACGTACATCCCGTCCATGAGACTCCTTAACATACTTCTGGAACAGGTATGGCGCTTCATGGCGAATAAGATGGCTTAGATCAGCCAAATGGTGCTTATCTCGAGCCAAGAAAACAGCTTTACCTATGATTTAAAAGAATAAAAATACACATAAGTCATTAATTGTGGACAGATGATACCTAATATCTGAATCTTCTTGTATCCCAATCTGCTCTTTCAGAACCAATTATACTTTATTTTTTTTTTAAAGTTTTCCTTGTTTTAACAGTGAAATAATACAAAAACATATAAAAACAAGGTAAATAATCTCCTTTCACTACTCAAACTCTTTCATGACAAACTAAAATTTATTTTGATACATGTTGTGAGACAGGGGTCTAGATTTGTACTTCTCCAGGTTAGCCAGTAATGTCAACCTTATTCACTAGCAAAATTTTCTCTCTGAATTGAAACATATGTGTGATATATCACTATACAATATATTAATATATTATATTAGAATACAGCAATATAGCAGTATGTTACTTCAAATTATTTCTGAATTCTCAATCCTGTTCCACTGCTCTGTTTTTGTGCCAATGGAAGTGGCTGATTTTAATATACGGTTTTAAATTCCTCCCATGGTAGGGAAGGGAAAGGAGGGATACTAAATCTCTCACTACTGGCTGAATCTAGGAAGGCTTGTGATTGCTCAAAAGACAATATGGCAGAAATAATTCTATTATGACTTCTGAGGGTAGATCATAAAAGGTCATTTAGGTTCTCTGTTCACTGTAGCATTCACTGTAGGAGGCCTGAGACTCATGGCTGCCCTACTGGGGAAGCCAAATATAAAGAATCCAGTCAACAGTTCCAGCTGAACTCTGATCCAGCCATCCCTGTCAAAACACAAAAGTATGTCACTGTACTCAGATTTATGTATTATTTTATGCCTTAAAATTCAACCTTAGGCTGGGCATGGTGGCTCGTGCCTGTAATCCCAGCACTTTGGGAGACTGAGTTGGGTGAATCACCTGAAGTCAGGAGTTCAAGACCAGCCTGGCCAACATGGTGAAACCTCATCTCTACTAAAAATACACACACACACACACACACACACACACACACACACACACACACACAAATTAGCTGGGCGTGGTGGCGAACACCTGTAATCCCAGCTACTTGGGAGGCTGAGGTAGGAGAACTACTTGGACCCAGAAGACAGAGGTTGCAGTGAGCGGAGACAGCGCCACTGCACTACAATCTGGGCAGCAAGGGCAAAACTCCAAACAAACAAACAAACAAACAAAATTCTACCTTAATCCAAAGTCATTAAGATATTTTCATATGCCATCTTACAAAGTGTTATAGTTTTACCTTATTCATTTAAGTCTTCAAACTACACATACTTAGAGGGGGATGACTGGAGTTAGTGATCTGAGATGTTAGATTGTTTCTTTGCTTTTTTAGACAGAGACTGGCTCTATCGCCCAGCCAGGAGTGCAAAGGCGTGATCTCAGCTCACTGCAACCTCTGCCTCCTGGATCCAAGCAATTCTCCTGCCTCTGAGTAGCTGAGATTATAGGCATATGCCACCACGTCTGGCTAATTTTTGTATTTTTAGTATAGATGAGGTTTCACCACATTGGCCACCTGGTCTTAAACTCCTGACCTCAGGTGGTCTGCCCGTGTCAGCCTCCCAAAGTGCTGGAATTACAGGGGGTACTTACATTGCTGAGGAGAAAGATATAGACATTAACTTGAGTCTAAGTATATATGTTAAAATCTGTAGGTAACCAATAAACAGAAATAGCTTCTAGCCAAACTGAACAACTCATAGTAGTCTTTTGTAAGCCTGAAGTATCATGCACCTAACAAATTCCCTTTAAGTATTCTTCAAAGTCACTCATATTAATAAGTATAATTTCAAAACTATATACGTTATCAGTAACTCATACGCACCTCTATGACCCCGCGTATTCTTTACTACCATTGGGAACTCCAGTACTTCTGCTTCATCAATCATTTTAGCAAAATTTTCATGGCCACCTGGTTTGAGCAATAAAAAAATTTAAGAAAAACAGCAGAAGTATTTTGTGAATATTTCAATTTTATCTGAAAATCACTTCTATAAGATATTCTTTCCTGTCTGTAAATTTATCCTATTAAACTATCAGTGGTTAACCATTTAGGCTATGCGTGCTTCTTAGTAGGCTCACCATAAGAGAAAGTATCTGGTAGAGGAACACCACGGCCAGCCAACTCTTGAAATGTCCAGAACTTATTAACGCAGTTCAGGATGGCTTGAGGTCGGTTCATCAACCGGCATCCCATCTTCTCTAGATGGCGCAAAACAGTAATGTCACTATCACTTTGTACCCACGGGGTTGGTACTCTGACTACTACAACTTGTGGGTAGGCAGTGATTAGCTCTCCATTGATCCGCAGACCTGAAATATATAAAAACAAGGCCAAAACCATTAGAGGAAAATATACAATAAAATAGAGGAACAGTAATATGCCAAAGTTTGTATCACAAAATTAAATGAACTATTTTGTTAATATTAAATTTGGATAGAGATATTCCTCTGTAAGAAACAAGAGAAATTTAAAAAAATCTTTGCACTGATTAAACTTAGTACCCACTAGAATGAATTACCACATAGCTATTAAAAATAATGTCATAAACACGTAAGTTCAGAGATGAACAAATGCCCAGATACATAATATTTTTATTTTAAATAGCAAATCTGACAAAAAGTTTTATTTGTACATACACATAAAAGATATCTAAGCAGGTGGGCACAGTGGCTCATGTCTGTAATCCCAGTACTTTGATAGGCTAAGGCAGGTGGATCACAAGATCAAGAGATCGAGACCATCCTGGCCCACATCATGAAATCTGTCTCTACTGAAAATACTGAGTATTTTCTGAGTGTGGTGGCAAGTGCCTGTAATCCCAGCTACTCGAGAGGCTGAGGCAGAAGAATCGCTTCAACTTGAGAGGCAAAGGCTATAGTGAGCCGAGATCACGGCACTACACTCCTAGCCTGGCAACAGAGTGAGACACTGTCTCAAAAAAAAGAAGGAAAAGAAAAACAAATATTTAAGCAGTTTAATGATTTAACTGGCTTCCTCTGAATGCGACTGGGTGGCAAGGCAGGAAGAGGAAGGTTAAAGACAAAACGTTATTATTGTGCTCCATGCAATTCTCTATCTATATTGTGTTCTATATGCTTTTTTTTTTTTTTAAAGTGACAACGTATATCTCTATAATGAAAAAACACAATTTTTAAAAATAAATGTTTTGCAAACTTTCATCCAGGTACCTGCGATAAAGCCCAGCTAATTTTTTACATTTTTAGTAGAGACAGAGTTTCACCATGTTGGCCGGGCTTGTCTCGAACCCCTGACCTCAGGTAATCTGCCTGCCTTGGCCTCCCAAACTGCTGGGATTACAGGTGTGAGCCACCACACCCAGCACATGGCTAATTCCTTACCTTTTTTTTTGGTACAGATAGGGTCTCGCTATGTTACTCAAACTCCTGGGCGCAAGCAGTCCTCCTGCCTTGGCCTTCTAAACTCGTAGGATCATAGAAGAGAGCCACCACACCTAGCTTCTCTTTACTGCTTAATGACAGCTCTGTTCTTCCAGTTTAGACCTAAATCCTCAGAGGCATCCTGGTCTCTCTCTTCTATCTCATATTCAAATTGTCAGGAACCTCTTGAAATCTCTACTCAGAATGTATCCAAATCCGACCATTTTTTACCATCTTCACTTCTAATACCATCTTCTCTCATTTGGATTACCTATACAGTAGCCCCTTAATGGGTCTTCTTGCTTCTCCCCTTCCCTCCTGATCTCTTCCTAACACCGCAGTGGTATGACAGATGCTTTTACTTTGCAAGTCAAGTCAGCCTTTGCTCAGAATCCTCCAACAGGGCCGGCCGGGCATAATGGCCCACACCTATAATCCCAACACTTTGGGAGGCTGAGATAGGAGGATCATCTTGAGCTCAGGGTTCAAAACTAGCCTGGGCAACATAGGGGGCAACCCTGTCTCTACAAAATACAATAATAAATTAGCTGGGGCCAGGCTCAGTGGCCCACCCCTGTAATTCCAGCACTTTGGTAGGCCAAGGTGGGTGGATGACTTGAGGCCAGGAGTTCAAGACTAGCCTGGCTAACATGGTGAAACCCCATCTGTACTAAAAATATAAAAATTAGCCAGGTGCAGTCGCCTGTGCCTACAGTCCCAGCTACTCAGGAGGCCGAGGCATGAAAATCGCTTGAACCAGGAACAGAGGCTGCAATGAGTCCACGTTGCATCACAGCATTCCAATTTGTGCAACAGAGCAAGACTGTCTCAAAAAGAAAAATAAAAAAAATTAGCTGGGCATGGTGGCATGCACCTGTGGTCCCAGCTGTTCAGGAAGCTGAGGCAGAAAGACTGCTTGAGCCTGGGAGGCTGAGGCTGCAGTGAGCCATAATCATACCACTGAATTCCAGCCTGTCTCAAAAACAAAAATGAACAAACAAAATTCCTCCAATAGTTCCCCAGTTTCCCAGAAGGCTCTTAAGTTCTTGTCCTGGCTACCAGGCCCTAGGTGATGTCATCCCTACTTATCTCTCTGAGATCTATAACCACATGGATGAATCTCAAAAACATGTTGATTTAAAAACACAAGTCACAAAAGAGACTTGTACAATGTAAATTGTCAAGAAAAAGTTCAACCATTATTACTCTGTCATGCTAAACTGGAAACAGCTTTTACTCTTTTTAAAAAATGGGATAAAGAAAGCAAAACAAGCTGTTCCACTTTCCAGTGTAAACAGCCTATCTGTTGCCACCAGAAAATGGGAGTACCCAAAGCATATTTGGACCTGCACAGTGCACTACGGAGGTATTAATGAGGATGGAAAGAAATTCAATGCCTCCTGAAACAAACACTTGATGTTATTATAAGAAAGCAGAAGTGATCCAAGGCTGGAAAGATGAATGTGAGCCAAAAAGGCAAAGTGACATCTCTTAGGACTCTGCCCTATGAGCTACTGATCTCTTGAGCACTCACCAAATATCACCCGTGCCTTTGATGCAGAGCTTATACATGGAAATAAAAGAAATGGTTTCTTCCCTTAATTTCATGTTATTACTGAATAAAACAAACGCACATAATTGTTTGAAGAACTTTACCCACAATTCCACTACTTATTGTAAAAACATGTATTCCAACTGAATGTGCTGGGTTCAACCCCTTTGCCTCTAATGTATGAATATTATTTTAATAAATACATTAAAACCCCAACTTATACAATTTTTCATCTAGCTTGTTGACTGAAATTATGATTTCAGTAGAAATGTTTTAGATATAAGTTTCGGATCAAGTGTATAATAAAGTGCTAACATAACAATTTAAATAAGTTAACCTTAGAACAGCAATGGGGTGGGGAAGCAATCTTTGTTCCTTTTTTATTTATTAGGATATAAAAGGTATTGCGTGTTAAAAGGTTGTTGCTGTTGTCAAGGCAGAGTGACACGGTATTAAGGACTGATTAATACCCTTATCTGAATACTGTTGTAGTATTACTATATTATAGTAATACTGTAAAAGGACAGTATTAAAAGTATTATACTCTTAATAGTAAGTACTAGTAGTGGTTTTTTTCCCTCAGGAATCAAGGAACAGACAAATGCTGGTCTTTTTGCTGACATTTACTTTTACTTCATCCTCAAGTGTTCCAGATGATTTTTTAGGACTTCTGAAATCCTTTTTTTTTTTTTTTTTTTTTTGAGACCGACTCTTGCTCTGTCACCAGGCTGGAGTACAGCAGCACGATCTCGGCCCGTATTAGCTCCCGCCTCCCGGATTCAAACAATTCTCTTGCCTCAGCCTCCCAAGTAGCTGGGATTACATACATACTAAATTTTGTTTCTTAGGAGAGACAGGGTTTCTCTACGTTGGCCAGCCTGGTCACCAACTCCTGACCTCAGATAGTCTGAACACCAGGGCCTCCCAAAGTGCTGGGATTACAGGTGTGAGCCGCCGCACCCAGCTGGACTTCTGGAATCTTTTGAAAACCTATGGGATTTTGAGAATTTTAACTAAAAGTTTCAAGTAAAGTTGCTGTTTGTAACGATTAAAAACCCACACAATCTTTGTGTCAAAAATTAAAGAACCACTCAAAGACTATGTATTAAAAGGACACAGGAAACATCCTGGAGGTGTTCCCACTAGCTAAATTCGAGATGATCTGGACATCAAGAAAAAAAAAAAAAAAAAGAATGAACTGTAACACAGTGAGTATAGAAAGTCCATGAGTCCATAATGAATACAGAAAAACGGTTTAAAAGCCCTATTTGGTACCTCAGGAGGGGATTATTATAGATGCTCCTCAAAGTTAAGTAGCATACTGAATGTGTATCACTTTTATACCATTTTAAAGTTGAAAAGTCTTACATTAGGCCATTGTAAGTCAGGGACTATATGTACATAAATCCTTATTCCCAAAACTGGTAAAGTGGGAAAATTACATTTACGTAAACTTTTTAGGAGGTACTATATAGTTCACCACCAGTAGAGAAAACTCTTTTAGAGAAGAATGTGAACTAATAAATCACTAACAGTGACACGGACCTTCATTTTGTGCCTTTTGTTTGTCTGCACTACGAAGTACATTCCATCACGTTGAAGTAATTTTTTGCCTCAATTGTGTAACCCAGATATAATCAAGCCAATTTACAGAAAACCTTAGGAGGCAAATATCAAAAGGAAATGATCAAATAATTGCAGAATGTGAGCCATTTTTGCAGAAATAAAGATGCAGAGGCCAGGTGTGCTGGTTTACACCTGTAATCCCAGCTACTTGGGAGGCTGAGGCAGAAGAATCACTTGAACCCAGGAAGTGGAGGCTGCAGTGACTGCACTCCAGCCTGGGCCACAGGGTAAGACTCTGTGTGCTAATGGTTTAGATTATATATTAGATTATATAGGTAGCCTTATTTTTTTGGATGTACATATTGATGTATTTAGGGGTGAAATGACACAAAGATGGCTACTTAATTTGAAAAGTTAATGCCCTCCCCAAAAAGTTTTGCATGTATATACAGGGACAAGGAGATAACAAAGAATTATGACAAAAGGTTACTGTTAATCTTTAGGTAGCAAAAATATACTTGTTCATCATTCCATTCTTTCCGCTTTTCTAATCACTTAAAATTTTAAATAAAAAGGTGAGGTAGAGAGAGAGGAACCAAGACATCATATTAACTTTCTGTTCTCTAAAGAAAACTGATAATGGTCATTCTTATTTAAAAATCTTCTGATTTTGATGCTCAGCTTTTCACTTTTCTTTTCCTTAATGGTTTCTCACACTTTTTGTCATGAACATCAAAAGTCATTTATTGTTCTCCCACTGCCCCATTTCTCTTGCTGTTTACGTTTCAAGTGT